AAATACTGATAATACTGATAATGATTTAGAAAAAATTTTTATGAGTTAAGGTTCTTCATCCTGAACTTCCTCAATATTTTGAGCTCTTTCAATATTTTGAATTCTTTGATTGAGTTCAAATAACATGCTGGCGATATTGTTTTCGGAATATTCGAGATATCCATCAGGGTGAATTTGATTGAGAGTGTATTGTTCGTTCGAATTAGTTTCAGAGTTTTTACTGATGGTCGCCTCGATGACTTGAACTCTTTCATAGATGTAATTTATCACGCTAACGAAATGTTCTAAAAGGTTTAAAATTTCATTTTGGCTAATTGATTTTTCTGATTTAAAATTTATTAATAATATTTTAACGTTAGAAATGTATGGAGTTTATCAACAATAGCTACAAAATAATTAACAATAGCTACAAAATATTACCATTAGAATTTCGCTTTGCTGATCCTTTGGTTTTAAATTCTTCTTGAGTAGTTACAACAAATTTTGTCGTAGACATGTTACGGTTTTTGAGAGATGAAAATAGATATATGAGTTTTGTCTTTATAATGTTTTGGTCGCACTTTATGAATTTAGAGAGGAATAATGAAGGGAGAGGGCAACTAGCATGTATGAATATATATATAACATCAATCTTAACTTCCTCCCCAAACACCCAATTAGGCATTTTCCCAGCTACTTTTTTGGAATTGCTTATAAAGTAAAACATTATTCATCATATGATCATAGTGCTTAGAGGTTTGAATAATAACAATAGTGTGTTACATATTTCTTAAGGGCGATTCTAATCAGTATCTACATATTTATACTCAAGATAATCTAGTACATGGAAATGCTTATTTGTATGAGTGATACAACACAAAAAAGGAAACTTAAAAATATACAAAAAAAGAAGTTTAAAAGTATACAAAAAAAGAAACTTAAAACTGGTTAAATTTTAATTAAGAGTTAGGATGTTATTGGTTAGAGACTATAGAAATAAACATTATCGCTAGCCATTGCTTATAGTATTCCTCGAAAATAATATCTTACCATGTATAATACCTCTTATTCACCAATGAGATTGGATTAGTGAACATTATGTGGACTATTCTTTTCAAAAATGGGTTCTTTAATAAGAATCTGGGTATGTAGGCGGTGGCTAACGGTGTATGTAAAATGTGATTCTTGTCATTTTCAATTTTATGTTTCAAGGCAAGTTTAAACATCTGTTTTCTTTAATTTTCGCTTTTTTTTGATTTTTTTTCGCCTTCCATACGTGTTTGGCTGATCCGAGATAAACACCATTTAAGTTTCTGAATGATTAATTTTCCTATTTTGGATTTGTACCAACTTACACAATAAAGAACGTTCAGCACAGAATACTAATTAGGAAAATATTC